GGTATAGACTATAGGTATAGATCATGCTTTTTTATGCGGCCTCCTTAAGATCTATATAACCTAAAGGCACTCTGTAGGTTCTATCAGATCAGGGACGTAGCAACAACCCCCCCCCCCCCCCACTTTTTTTTCAAACATTACTTTTACTATTGAAAATGTTCATTGAAGGGCTGGTTGCCCCCCCCCCCCCTTTATTCTAAAGCAAAGCAATATCAAGGAAATATAGTATAGTAAGCTTAAAAATGCATATCGAAAGGAATTGTTAGTGAAAAAAGTTTGCCTCTAACCCCCCCCCCCCCCCCCCCCCCCCCCACACACACACACACACGAAATAGGATTTTCGACTTTGGGCAATTTTCTTTTTTTTTTTTTTTTTTTGCTTGTCGACTTTTTCAGGTAAGTAAAAAAAAATCTCTGTGTGTGCCCCCCCCCCACTTTCAAAATCGATGCTACGTGCCTGCAGATGACCTGAGATGAGCTGTGTGTATGTTTTTTATGCCCCGCCATGAATATGGCCGGGGCATATAGTGTTTGTCATGTCCATCTTCCGTCCTTCCGTCTTTCCGTCCTTCCATCTTTCCGTCTAGGTGTCCTTCTGTCCTTCCGTCACACTTTACGTTTAGCTCTGTTCAAAGCTTAGTTTCAAAGAAACTATCCAAGATATTTTCATCAAACTTCATATGCTGATAGATATTGGTGAGAACTATGCAACTGCATCAACATTTTTTTATCTTGACCTTTCCTCTGACCTTGACCTCACTTTTCTTGAATTGGTGTTTATCTCAGTTTTAAACATACCATTCAATATGGTGTTATCAAACTTCACATATTGATACATACTGATGAGAGCTATTCAACTGCATCACCATTTTTGACCTTGACCTTGACCTCACTTATATTTAATTAGTGTTTAGGTCAGTTTTAAAGATACCATTCAAGATATTTTTTTCAAACTTCATATGCTATTACATACTGATGAGAGCAATTCAACTGCATCAGCATTTTGACCTTGACCTTGACCTTTCCTTTGACCTTGACCTCACTTTTCCTAAATCAGTGTCAAACTTCATATGCTGATGCAAGCAATTCAACTGCATAAACTTTTTTGACCTTGACCTTTCATTTCACCTTGACCTCATTATCAAATTGTGTTTAAGTCAGTTTTAATTAAAGAAATCATTCTAGACATGACATATGCAACTGCATAATCATTTTTGACCTTGACCTCACTTTTCCTAAATCAGTGTCAAACTTCATACGCTGATACATACTGATGTAAGCAATTTAACTGCATGAACATTTTGACCATGACCTATTATTTGACCTTGACCTCACTTTTATTAAATTGTGTTTAAGTCAGTTTTAATGAAAGAAATCGTTCTAGATATTTTTATCAAACTTCATTTGTTGATACATATTGATTAGAGATATGCAACCGCATCAACATTTTTTACCGTGACCTTTGCTTTGACATTGACCTCACTTTACCTAAATTAGTGTCAAACTTCAGAAGCTGATACATATTGATGTAAGCAATTCGAATGTTTCAACATTTTTTACCTTAACCTTTCATTTGACCTTGACCTCTCTTTTATCAATTTGTGTTTAAGTCAGTTTTAAAGAAACCATTTATAATATTTTTCAGCTTCATATGTTGATGCATACTGATGAAAGCTTTTCAACTGTATCAACAGTTTTTGACCTTGGCATTTCATTTGACCTTGACCTCACTTAATTGAAATTTGTCAAACTTCATATGCTGATATATTCTGATGTAAGCAATCCAGCTACATCACTATTCAAGATATTTTGATCAAATTTCATACAATAATACAAATTTTCATGTTGCATTACTAATATACCCAGGGTGGGACATTCATGTCCTATGGACATATTTCTAGTTTCAATGTGAACTCGACATCGGTATGAAAGGTGTAGACAGTAAATAAATCAAGTGCATCTGTAACACCCCCACTGCTACCCCCCGCCACCCCACCCCCACCTCCCCGAATCCAAGATAGCAACTATATCGAACCTTTTATCATTATATATATTCATGTATAGAAATATAATATTTAAACTGAATTCAGTGAATTTTTATCTTCATTTCATGAGTTTATTCACACAGACATGGTTCTAAAACACAATTAGCAAAATAGACCATCCTGAAATCAAGCGCCTTTGGTTTTTATTTGTAATGAAACATATGGAGGTAACGAACAGTATTCAAACTCAAAAGTCTATTAAAACAATACAGACCAAACACTGACTTCCAAAAACATCGGGGGTGGAATCAGGTGCAGTGGAGAACTAAGCATCCCCTGTCGACAGGTCAAACTCACTGTATCATCAGGTATTAACGGGAAAATCCGTAGACAATTAAGTGTGTAAATAATAGCCTGATTAGTAAGAGAATTAATTGTAGGTTGAATTTGTTGACAAGGTCATAATATCGCTTTTAAAAGTTGCGACTAAAATGATGACTGAAACGTAACTGTTGATATGCTTGTTTCTTCCGCTTATTTGTCAGTAGCATGTCTCGTTTTAGAAACTGCTCATACGTAGATATCGAGCATGGTCTTGCGTATCGAATCAACTGAGACATAAACCCCATGTGCATTAAAGATTAAAGGAAAGTTGACGGTTGAAAAGTTGCACTAGAGTTATCAATGAGATCAATAATAGTTTTGTTTGTTTGTTTTAGTAACACCCCCCCCCCCCAAAAAAAACCATCAATCTTCAACTGCCCTCTCTGTTAGTATGACATTGGCTGTCTCCGTAAATTTCAGACAAGTAAATCTCAAGAGTTGTCGTTCCTGCTTAGCAGCCAATATATACCATCCCTTTTAATAAATGATTTCAACAAACTATAATTTGCAGTCTGGATATAAAAACATAGGAAAAAAACCTTTTTAGGGGATGATTTATTAAGGTGCAACATGTTAAATGATAATCGAAAGAGAAAAATTTAGACGATCATGCATTCTGAACGTTGTTAAATAGAAAATGTCAGTGAGAAAATACTGAGTGGTAATTATGTAAAAAACAAAAACAAAAAACTTTTAATATAGTATAAAACTTTATACTTGATATTGTAATTTTAAGCAAGTTGTTATAAATCGAATCAATTTAGTGTGGTAAATATATTTATTATTTTATTTGTTTTAATACAGTTTATTAACTAAAAAATTTAATATCTTTTATAACTTATGTGTATAAATTTTTGTAAATTCATTAACCCCCCCCCCTCCCCTATCCCCAGAATAAATAAAAACAGAAACTATATACATTCAGATCCTTGATCAGGCACTTTTTTTCGAAATGAATTTTAAAAGTGTCTGTGTTACAGGGGCATAAATATTTGCAACAATATTAAAAGACTGATCATTTTTTGATCCGCGCCTGAAAAATACAACAATGCAATATATACAAATAAATACGAACAAAAGTTAAATACCATAAAAATGCTGGGCGTGAATGGACTGAAACTTAATATTTATTCCATGTTGATTAATTAGGCCTATGATTGGGAAGTTTATTTAAAAGTGCACTGTAAACATTTTGTGCGGACCTCCCTAAAAGTAGTCTGCATATTTATTTTTCACATATCATTGCGCATAGAATAAGTCAAGGTGTGCAGAGTAAAAGCTGGTAGCAGATGGGAGAGGATATGATAATATGCTTTCGTTAACTATTTTGAAAGTTAAAATTTAAAATTGAAAACGCTTCAATAATAATTTGGGTGGGAATGTTATTTTTTTCATGGACCTAATTTCACACGGTTAACGAGAGTACTTCAGTGTGTTGTTCGGTTAGTTATGGTGGACTGACAAATTCCTATATGCTACTGTAACTTTTACTCCAAGAGGCGCATAATTCAAAATAACATTGTTTTAACTCCATTCAAAAATAAGCAAATCTAATTTCTTTATCAGCTTTTTGCTATTATTCGGTTTCTTCTGTCAGATCAATTGCATCTTCGACACTTAACTTTAGCCGAGGCTGAGTAAGGTGTTGCTTGCAATGCTCGACTTCAGAATCCAGTACCGTTGAAGTGACCAATGCACCAGCCATGTCTTTTTCGGAGAGGTTTGTATGTTACATCAATGTTAGCTTGACAATATCTGGCTTTTCCGTCAATAATTGTTCAGTGTCTCGAGTAATGACTTCCGAGCGGAAGGAAACATAATTAGGCCATCAGATTGAATCACTGTTGCCTCATAACACTAACAGTTACTGTTATTCTTCTGTGTCCATTGCAAAATTGTTGGTAGTAACTTTTGAGATTGGACAACTGTCAAACATTAATTTAAACAAAACATAGTTGTTAAATTCAGTAACCCCTGCTTCCTAATTTTCACAATGCTTCACACTACAGAACAAAATCTGCCAGGTGTTCCTCAGTACATAAAATATTTTCTTTTTTTTTTAAAGTTCAGATTAATCCATTTATAACATGAATGTGTGAGCTATGTTAAATAGGAATTAAATGAATTCAAACAAATTCTAAAATGTCCTGGATAACCTTTATTATTGGTATTCTTCATGCCAGTGATCAGCTGGTGATAAGAATTGTTATTTACTTTTCAGACAAAATTTGCCTTTAATCACTTGTCTCAAATTATAAAGACAGTAAATCCCACTTATAGCGAACATTTTTATAATGAATTTAGTCCTATGGCGAAGTCATTTTCATTCCCCTTGACTTTAAATTATACATGACTGTATTGTAAACTTGGCAGATATGACAAATTACACTTATAATTCTACAATTGTTTAAGCAAAATTGTCCGTCCATAGCACTTCCTTATAGATATGTATTTTAAAACTGTATAAACAGTGTTTCACATATTGTGTACTAATCAATATTGAAAATATTATTTGTCCAATTCAGTACTGGGATATAAATGCATGAACCCAAAAAAAAGACTCATTAAAACTGAGTCCATTAATCTGGTATATGAAGGATGTTTCAATCTAGTAAATGCTCTAGGGAAATATGAAGCAATTAAATGTTTATTCATTGTCTTAAAAATGCAATCCAAGATGATCAGGATTTGAGGAAGTCGGCAGGCCTAGAATTAGCCTGCCCCTTTCCTGTCATATAATACAGAATCTATATCTTAGAAAAGTATTTCTACACTTTTTATATGAACATATAGCAATATTTTAAACAGTATATTACTTCAGATGGAAGTGCCAGAATACTCAGATTAATTCTGATCATTAATCAGTTTGAGTTCAGGCTCATTATAGTCTTATAGACATAAATTTGGTTTGTTGTACACATGCTTTCATATTAGTAGTGTGGCAGTCAATTGGGTTCTACCTTTAGTGACACCTCTCATGTTTCATTTGGTTATGTGACCAGACAGTATGTGTCAGGTAAAAGACCTGCTCAGGAAGAATTGGTGTCTTATTGGTGGAAGACAGAAATGTGGTGGTCAGATGGGCTCCATCACCAGTTTGTCAAGTATCGTGGTAGAGCACCTGACTGGAGATTCAGGTGGCCTGGGGTCCAATCCAGGCCTGGTTCGTTGCATTTTTCTCCTCTACCTTTACAGTTGTACCTGCAGAATAAAATTAAATTTGACATTTCTTTAGTCAAGTGGGGCTTTTCTCTTATAAGTGAAGTGTGGAACAGTATTGTAAATGTTTAATTCGTATGTATAAACAAATAATTAATTTAGAAATTGAAAAACAATACTGTGAGGAGCAATGTAATTATAGTCAAATCTTGGTAATGCTCCAAAATTTTGCAGCAACTATCAGAAAGTCAGCGTGTACTTAAGATCTAATTTCAATCAGATTATTTTCAGGAGTTACCTATCATGCTAAATGAAAGAAGTCAAAGTACAAACAGTTAAAATTTAAATGTATGCTTTATACATCATTGCTTCCTGCTTGAGAAACTCAACAGTTGATTTTTTTTTCCTAGACAGTTCACACTAAGTCTAAAGAGTTTATTCAAGTTTTAATATTTTAATATATTTTTATTATTCCTATAATTATTTAGCTGATACTTCACATTGAATTTAGTTATAATCTGAAGTTTCATTTTATAAGTGTGCAGTGCATGCCTGTCTCTAAGTTGAATATTTGTTAGGGTTTTTCGCTTTGTTTGGGTTTTATTGATTGGGGTTTTAAGTTTTTTTTCTTTTTTTTTTTTAGAAAATTAGGAGTGTTATCTTTAACAGTTATTGCTTATTAATAATATCTTACTGTTTGAGTTGGTATCAATCATTACTCTAACTGGCTAGTCAAGGAGGATAACTCCGTTATGACTGTTTATCAAAACGTTGAAGTTTCGGTTTCATTTACTGGTATGTCGTTAGTCTTTCCCTGAAATAGGCAAATTTTTAAATAGAACAAGGTGGCTGATTATCTCTTCTTTTTTTTTTTTAACTTAGCGAACATTCTGAAAGTTATGATAGAGCTGTTGTCATTGAGTTCAAATTCTTGGAATTACTTTGAGATCTTTGATACTGATAACAAAGTCTTTGTAACTTTTCGACTGTGTTGAAAAAAACAATGATATTATTATAGATTGAATATTAAAATTCTCAATTCATTGGTATCAGTATATATAATTCAGTTACTCAGTACTCCTGAAGTATTGCTTTGGGAACAGCTGACTTTTTTTTCCGTAAAAAGTTTGTCACCATTTCTTTTCTTAAGTTGTTGATAAATGAAAGTCATAGAGATAGTGAGTTTTAAAAGATATTATATGACTGAATTCTGCTGGCCTCATTCAAACACTTTTAAAAATCACATATATTTTATATGTATTTATAACATTATCATATATCTAAATTATATTTAAGTGGGGCCAAAATAAAATTATAGTTTGTTTGGAATTGCCTCCCGACTCATTGAAATACCCCCCTCCTGAAAAAATTTTATTGACCAAAAGTAGGATGATTTTTTTTTATTTAATCAATTTTTTGCCTATTACATGTATCACATACAAAACACTGAAATATAGTGTCAGATCTATGTAAAATTAAATAAAATAATTTCCCTCCCTCCCTCCTGTGTCTGAAACCCTTCAGGCGGCAATTCCAAACAAACAATTTTTTAAGGATGGCCTGGCATAGATTGTTAATTGTATTATTTGTTAAACAAAATAAGAAATTATTAATATATATTACTTGTAGTAATACTATATGTAAAAAAGGTGCTTACCAATACTTGTCAAAAATCAAACTGAAATGTACTAAACCACTTCCATTGTTGACTAAATTGAAATCCAGGTGATGGAGGGATCTTTTAAAACTCCCTTCACCTTTGGATGCTTTGGTTGGAACATAAAGATTAAGTTTATGTTTAAGCCCGTATCTTTCCCTGGTTTGTTCTTGTATCAGTCTGTTGTCTGTTGTCTTTGAAGTGTGTACAACAACATGTGGCAGATCGCTAGGATGATCACATGTTGTCAAGTAGGTTCCTAAAATATCTCCTCCCAGCCTTGTCATTATATAGCCTGAATGTGCATCATAAAAAAGATGACTGAATATCTGATCCTTCCTGTATTTTCATGGATTATTAGTCACCTGATGCACTGAAATCTATAAGGTTTTGATTTCACAAGAGATATATGCATTACACGCAGGCCACACAAATCAGTCAGGTGCCAGCCGTGCCGTGAACCAGCACAATAATTCTGAATATTTTATCACTTTTTTAAAACAGGTAAATATTTCACTACCAAGCCCCTTTCACTTTCATGGACAATAGCACTCTTTACCTTTGCCTTGTTTGATTTTATTAGGGTTATAACAGCAGAACTTTATTTTTTGCAATTAAGAAAAGGAGTAAAACATTCATTCCTTAGGGATTAAGGAAATTGATTATAAATTAAGAATAATCAGCTAAAATGCAATATATCTGATTTATGGCATTAGTCAGCATCCATTGATATAACAGTAGTAGTATGCCTAAACCTGCCTAGTAATCTGTCACAGAATGTATCTTTATTTCACATCAGTTACTCGGCAATTATTTTGCCAGGAAAGTGACGTAAGGATATTTAAGCCTGGAGGTTTTATTTTTCTGGAATGTCGGATTGATTAGAAGGTTGGCTTGCTGGAATCCTAATGTGTTTTGTGTTTTGTCTTTATTGAGAGAGATATAAATGCTCAGTTAGCCTACATAGACAGATGAGTTGTGGTCATACATGTTTTGGGGTTTAGCCGGGTCACTAGTATAATCCACCTAGAAGGATCTGTAGTTTATGACATGTATAGATCTATATACAGGATGTGACTTAGAGCTCAGATAAACCTTACAACATTGATATAATGAAAGCCTTTGTTTTACTGTTGTTTTTACTTGTAAACAATACCATTTCCTGGTGTCTTCCCTCAAGGTCAAAGTTCACAAGGAATAACCACAGCAGCTAATGGTGGGGTTAGCTAACGCAGTGTAGATATAGTACTGTGGTGTTGGAGGGATACATTACATTCATTGACCGGGAAATAATAGGGAGTAAACTGAGTTTGCTGGAGTGTACTCCAGGTGATATTGTGTGTGTATTTAGTGACCAGGCTTTGAATGACAAGGATTATCAGTGATCGCTGGCTGGACGAACAAACTAATTTGATGATCCACCTCTTAAGTGTGAGAGTGTTGTGGTGTAAAGGAATTCATTTTATATATATAGAAGGGGAAAAACATTGTTTTTGATGATGAATATTTAATGAGGAATTTGAAATGGAATTAACCACTATCACTGGATGTTATTTGTGTTTTTTCATCAGATTTTGGTGTGGCTTGTGATCACATCTGTGAAATCAGTTATTGATTTGAATATTTATATCTTATTTTACCTCAAGTTTATTTTAATGTGTTATCTATCAAAGTGCTGAATTGAGTGAATATTAGGCATTCCTGCAGATTAATTAATAAACAGCTAATTTATTTGATAATGGAGAAATCATTCTTGTTGTTGAGATAGCTAGTCTACACAATGGTGATAATAGAAAGCAATTAATCTAGCTCAGCATTGATTCAATTTCGCGTAATCCAAGTTTACAAATATGCCATTGGGAAAAAAATGGCGATCGATGGACGTTCTTCATTTTGGCTCATCTAAGCAAGATAAAGAGGCCCTAAAAAAGGACGATGGACTGGTAGGATCTGGGGAACATTTGTCTCGAACCTGTGATGCTCGGGTAAAGGGCGGGTCCAGAGAAGACCTGATTGATGCAGATCCACCGGTTATTCTAAGAAAGAAGCATACTAGTTCTAAGCATCGGTTTAGTTCACGAGAGGACCTCCTCGATAAACCCGCCTCCCCCAAACTGCGACAGAGCCTGCATGTCCCCTGGCACAAGACTAAGTCGAGCTCTAGGGATGATCTCATAACTAATGAATCTAGGAAAGAAGTGAACGACAGGTATATCAAATTCACCAATCATATCTGCCTGCTTTATTAATTATCACACTCAGGGTTACATGGTGCATGTACACACACATTGTTTGTGTATGTATAACCCTGATAGCACTACCTGTGGCTTAATATGGGTGAAAGGGATAATGCAGTAATGTTATAATCAGGTGCACTTTTTAATGGATCAAAACTGGTATGCATTACTTCACAAAAATCCAACATTGTGGATCATCTGTGGTGCAGAATGCATTGATGGGGGAAGGAAATGAACTGATAACTTACATATGTCTAGGCCAGGAAATTGATGTCTTGTGTGTAGTGGTATCATCTCATTATTGGTAAATGTTAACACACTTGTTGAGTATTCTTCATGACAAAAATGACTGGACATAGTGTATTGATATTGTACACAATCATCCAATAGGACCTGATCTACTCCAGACCAGGGTCATGTTTACACTAACCTGTCATGAACAGGTATCGGTGAATGACAACTTTCCCACATGATTTTACTAAATTCTAGACTGAAGGAATGTTAAATATAGTCTTTTCCTTTCCCCATGCAATTATAATTCCTTCAGCTCAATTTAAGGTGGTACATCTACTTGATAGGAGTAGATAGATGTAGCAGGTCAGGTGTTTACATTGTGAATCTTTCCAGGGATGACTGAATTTAATGCTGTTTGAGGTCTTAATTTTGTGTTCTGCATGAGTAACTTGTGTGTATAATGGGTATCAGCGATGCTACGCATCTAACTTTCATACAGGAACTTGCATTTCTTGTTTGCCTCTACTCCTTGGGTTTTCTCAGGAAATGATAAATTGTAGATCTTATACACTGTAGTTAATACACAGACTGAAAGTTGGTTGAGTTTATATATGTATATAAATAATCATTGAAAGGGAATTTTACTCACATAATTATTCACCCTTTACATTATATTGTTTTTAGTACAATGTTTTCAGTAAAGAGACACTGATTTTTCATTTCTATGTGAAATATTATGGGTAACTAAGAAGAATCTATGTGTTCTTTATTTTCATTTGTGCAAAACACTTGAATTTAAGGAAAATGTATCCTCACTATGTGAAACACATGTTCCTGTTAATGCCTATTACGTAAAAGGTTTCAAGTTTGTTTTATGGCTTTTCTGTTGTAAAATCAGAGAGAGAGAGAGAGAGCATTAGAGAGAGAGAGAGAGAGGATGTTATGGATGGCAACAGCTGATCATATCTTTATTTACTCCAGGTTCATATTAATTGATCTATTTATAACAATCAGACTCAGAGGAGGAACATCTTCCTTGATGTTATAGATTGCTTATATTTACTATTTACACCATTCAATTTACCCAAGTTTTTAAAGAGTACACATAAACTATGCAAAATTAAACATTTGTAATTCTACATTTTTTTTTGTTTTCACAAAATTTAATGCTATTTGCTTCACAATACAAATCAGAATATATTTTATACACGCCTGGTAAAATGTCTGATATTTTGCTGTCCATTGTAGGCACTCTAGCAGTGTGAAATTGGAACAACATGGCACTCAGGAAGAAACCAAAGAAGGTAAGCTGGCAGAATGATAGGTGCAAGATTTAGTAAGAAAAAATAGGTACAAGATTTAGGCAGAAAAATATGCAAAAGGATTAAGGTTTAGACAGAAAAATAGGCACAAGATTTAGAGAGATAAATAGACACAAGATTTAGGCAGAAAAATAGGCATAAGGTTTAGTAAGAAAAAATACGCACAAGAATTAGGCAGAAAAATATGCAAAAGGATTAAGGTTTAGACAGAAAAATAGGCACAAGATTTAGAGAGATAAATAGGCACAAGATTTAGGCAGAAAAATAGGCACAAGATGAAGGAAAGTTAATAATATTAGTTAAGCAACAGGAAAATGGGTGGTTGATATTGCTTTGTGGAACTCTTTTACAATGGAGGTAGGAAACATCATTTAGCGGGTTGCAATGTGCTGCTTAGCATGTTAGGAGTTCTGTCATCACTGTAGGTTTTAAGGACATACAACAAATGAATACTGTGATGATATATCTTGCTAGATGTTGCTCTATTGACTCTCACTTACCATAAAGTCAACCATATCTTTCTGATAAATGTTAATTTTGAAAATCTGAGCAGTTTGAATAAGATGTCTTAAAATGACTCAAAGAGCATATAGGCTAATAACAAAAATTCAAAAAGTAGAGCAAAGAAGGGCTCTCGGATATATAAGCAACAAAAAAATACACAAAAAGAAAAATACACAAAGAGCTAGGGCTCTCACATGTCATGCATTTAGAGAAGCAACAAAAATACAAATAGTAAGGCAAAGAGCAGGACTTTCACATATAGGCAGGCAACAAAAATACAAATAGTGGGGCAAAGAGTAGTACTCTCACATATAGGCAGGCAACAAAAATACAAATAGTAAGGCAAAGAGCAGGACTTTCACATATAGGCAGGCAACAAAAATACAAATAGTAGGGCAGGGAGTAGGGCTCTCAATACAGGCAACAAAATTACAAATAGTGGGGCAAAGAGTAGTACTCTCACATATAGGCAGGCAACAAAAATACAAATAGTAGGGCAAAGAGCAGGACTCTCAATACAGGCAACAAAAATACATAGTAGGGCAAAGAGTAGGGCTCTCAATACAGGCAACAAAAAACAAAAAAAAAGTAAGGCAAAGAGCAGGACTCACATATAGGCAGGCAACAAAATTACATAGTAGGGCAAAGAGTAGGGCTCTCAATACAGGCAACAAAGATACAAATAGTAGGGCAAAGAGTAAGGCTCTCAATACAGGCTACAGGCAACAAAAAGTACAAATACTAGGGCAATGAATAGGACTCTCACATTTAGGCTAGCAATAAAAAAGTAGGGCAAGGGCAGTCTGGGCTCTCACATATAGGCAGGCAACAAAAATACATGTATTAGGGCAAAGAGCAGGGCTGTTATGCCAAGGCCATTTAGGCAGCAACAAAATATATGTAAAGGGCAATACAGGAAACAAAGAATTACAAACAGTGCAAAGATGTAAGAAAAAAAATAAATGGCAGGTAAGGCAACAAAAAATGTGCTCTCACATATAGTAAGACAAAAAACAAATAAGTAGGGCAAAGAGTAGGGAAACAAGAAAATTTACAGATAGCAGGTAGACCAAGGCACATAAGATTCTTGGGGATGCAATCCAGCAATGTAGGACTTATGATGTACTATAGTTCAAGGCATGACTAGCAATTCATTTAAATTTCATCCTGCATTCATTTGATATGGTGGCTTGTCAAGATAATGAGGCAGAAAAAATCACCCAGCTATTTCTGGATTTGTTATCAGAAGGGAAAGGAGTATATTGAAGCTTAATGGCTGCCAAAACACATCAATATCAAGTAATAGTTCAGGTTTCTGTCATTCATCCAAATATGCATTTACACACACACTTACTGAGAGAATAGGACAAATATAAGCAGATGTCTGTAGATTATCTTCAGAAATGTCCACTATTTGCGGAAAAAAACACTTTGTTTGTTAACAAAGCCAGGAATTAATCTAGGGCATATTTACTACTGATATTTTGCCCCAGAGAAAATTTCCCTATCCCTTTTGATAATTAAAAATTCCCCTGACAATGTTGAATGATAAAAATATAGAATAATTTTTTATTCCTTAATTAATAATGGAAATTTCAGGTAAAAAAAAAGCAACAAAATATCTGCAATATGGTTTTACTTAGCTATTTTATGCACTCAAAATGGTCTTTAAACTAATGAAGTTCAGTTGGGCCCCACAATTGTTGCTCTTTGGCCCTCAGACCCCCAGCTGATTTTCTTAATTTCTCCAGAAAGGGTAGTTTTACCAAAAAGCTAGATTAGTCCCTGAAAGCATAGGTGATTAATAAATAGTTACTGTATAGCTACAGAAGCTTTTACATCCCAACATTATAAACCATACTGCTTTTTATACATCTTAATGTTATAGGAATTGCCTAGCTGTTTTTAATTCAGGACTGGTCATAAAAAACAACAACCCTAGTTAAAAATCTACATAGGCCACACAGGTGTATGTCTAATATTATAATGATGGATAACTGAAGAGTTACAGAACCATAAAAATTATACTTCACAATGTTTACCTGATATAAGGCTTTGCCTTTGGAATGTTTTCTGAATGAAAAGTTGAGATATTAAACCATATTCAAACAATACAAATTAGGAGCAGAACAAACATGTATGTCTAAAACATCAGAGGTGGGATCAGGTGCCACAGAGGTGTGAGCACCCCCTCCTGACCATTCACACTCACTGTGTGCTCCTTGTCATGAGCAGGGAAAAATCTGTAGACAATTTAGTGTGTAAAAAAGTGGTCTAACAATGAATACTTAATAGCATGAAATAGATAAATTTTAATACATTTTTAGCTCACCTCGACAAAGTCGAGATGAGCTTATGCTATACCCCCGGCGTTGGCGTCAGCGTCAGCATCCCAGGGTAAAGTTTTTGGAGCAGGTCCATTCCCAAGGAACTATAAGCCCTACCCGGACCAAACTTGCATGGATGATGCATGTAGGGATGGACACTACCAGAATTGCTTTGGATGCTGGATCTGACCTACATTTACCAGATTAGTGACTAGATTATTCCTAAGTAACTATAAACCCTACCTGGACCAAACTTGCATGGATGATGCATCTAGGGATGGACAATCGAAACTTGCTTCGGATGCTGGATCTGACCCACATTTTCCAAATAAGTGATGAGGTTAAAGTTTTTGGAACAGGCAATCCCAAATGAATTTTAAGATGTATTTAAACAGAACTTGCTTGAATATTATTGTCAGAATAAAAATCAACTGTAAAGAAAATATGATGTGAGATTGGCATTACCTAAACTGATAACACTCGTCGAGGTGAGCTTCGTAATCTTTGATTACCTATGTTTTCTAAAGTGCACACACCATTTAAGAGAGTAATACCAATTATTATTTGAATGTGATAGTTATCATAAGGATATCTTAAGAATTTTAGGCTGTTCATAGAGAAAAAAAGACCCACCAAGTTTTGAAATGTTACCAGTTCCCAAGATTGTAGATATGTACACAATCTCACAATATCAATTTAAATCCTACAATTTCAAAATTTGCAGTACATGTAGCTTTGGTAAAACAAATTTATCTTGAGTTAGACTGGTTATTGTTTGGATAATGTAGATATGTCAGGTTATAGATGAAATTTAACATTGATTGAAATGGCTAGATGCTGAACACAATGTCTTAAGCCATTGTCTTCAGTGTTTTCCCTAAGAACCGGCTACTGGCCAAATTGACTGATTCAATTGACAAAAATGCCACTTTGAAATAAAAATTTGTTGTTAGGTCCACAGAGATTTTGTTCATAAACCTCAGCCCCTAGACTGTTACAACTGATCTCTAACCCTTTACTTTGAAATAAAGGGAATACACTGTGTCTTATGTTGTTAATCTTGGTAATTTGATGTTTGTAATACTTCATTATAAATGTGTTAGTATTCATAGTTGAGTAATTTGATTATATGTGGTACAGAGAATGTTACACAATGCCCACATGTATACTTATGTATGTACTTGACAGGTTATATACAGAGATGTGTGATCATACAGAGAGATGAGAAGGGCTACGGACTCACAGTCAGGGGAGACAATCCAGTCTATGTAGAGTCTGTCAAAGCAGGTCAGTTTTGTCCAAATTTTCAGAATCAAGTTTAGAAAAAAAGGAGGGGGAAAACTCAATTCAAAAATACAGACAAAATGCATCAAGAATATTAAAAAAGCATCCTCATGTAGTAAAGATTCATTTTCTCAAATTAATAAAGAAAAACATAATATTTAAAAAAAAAATGATAATAAAAAATCTTCTTGTGCAGTGGTCGGAATGTTGACATATAAATATTTTGTGAAATGATATCATTACCAGTGATGCTTAAAAATCAGTGATTGCTTAAGTTTCAGGATACATAGAATATTTTTAATGCCTCACTGTGTAAAGCCACAGATTCTTTAATACACTGTAAACATTTTGTTAGTTATTTTTTTTAAACAGTTGAACATCTAAAAATATTCAGTGCATACATTTTGTTAACAATATCATTTGGTGCAGTATTAAAACATATGTTACACAGTATTTCAAATTGCTGGTGGGTCTGAATCATCGGTTTTAAATTTGTCTGTAACTTGAATGATACACCTGAGAAATAAGAGATGTAAATATTTAGGATACTTACCAGTTTGAATATTAAATCACATTGTTGGTGTACCTGAGGCAAAATGCTTGGCATATTACACATTTATTCTAACAACTGCATTTAATACGTAACTATTTGTCTGATTTATTATCTTTATGATCATTATCTTCAGGAAATAGTATGAAAAATAATGTCTGAGCACAAAATAAAGTTTTTGACAATACACGATATTACACAATCTTAAATGTTAATTTAGAAGTCTTTGTGTTTTAGATGGGGCAGCAGAGAGAGCTGGCGTCAGACAGGGAGACAGGATTTGTAAGGTACAAAATAATTATCAATTCAATGTAAAATACAAAGCTCAGGTTTAATGGTGATGTAATTAAAATTTAGTTTTAGTCTCTGGTATGATTTTCTCCAATCAGACATTACATAACAATATCACACACATGGAGATGTGATCTGTAAAGGCCCACATTTTCTCCCATTCAGATTACGAAAATTAAGATCAGATATGACTAAGCCAGTATTAAGTGTGATTTGTAAAGTTTATTACAATTGACACACTCCCCAGTGTCTGGTACTCAGTACAGATATAACCTTTAAAGTGGATGTTGTTATATGGGGAACAAAATCTGTATGTAGAAGCTCTCAGTTTGGAGTTTTTAGCTCACCTGAGTCAAAAGCTTAAGTGAGTTTTCTGATGACATTTTGTACGGCATCCATCTGTAAACTTTTCACATTTTCAAGTTCTTCTCAAGAACCACTAGGAAAATGTTTAAAAATCTTTTTCTCTAGAATAAGAAAGCATTGATCACCTATATTTATATGAAAGCATCCTCCTGAAGATTGTTCAAAACATGAAAGAAAGGGCGGGGCCACAACAGCCTTAAAAGATTTTACAATAGAAGATAAATTTGTAGAAAAAAACCTTACTTAAGCCATGATTAGTCATAGAAATAGGGAAGCAACAGTGGGTGACTAAGTTTTACTATAAAATTGAAGAATGTATAGGAAAAAACCTTGAAAAATGTACATAAGCCATGATTAGACTTATATACCTCAGGTAGTGTAGGTTCAAGATTGTTCCATATCACCGAAAACTCTTTTCTGGACACTTGTATTCAAAATTCAATATTGACTGATTTGGCATTTTCGTAGCCAGAATGCTCAGATGAGCTATGTGGCCCATGAGCCTCTTTCCCAATGGTCTACCTTTCATGCTTATGCCATTTTACATGTTGTGCCAAGAAATATAAATGCTGTAAACATAGCTTTTATAGATTTGGGTTACTGCCCTTTGCAAATGCACAACTAAAATGAAAGGAAAAAGTTGGGAAATTTTATGAACAAGGTTATTTCTGATTAAGGTACAGTATCAGTATAAGGTTCAGTGTTTTACTGCTATATGTTTCATTGTAACTCTTTCGGAGAGATATCTTTCAATCTTGATGAAAAATCTTTATTTGATCCTTAGTTAAAACATTGTGTTTTATTTCTGTGGACATCACCTCTGTGCGCGGAGCAGGACGAACAGATGGCATTTTATCTCGACATACTTAATTGTCACATTACTGACTTCCTGTATGGAAGGAACTGTAACTCCTCCAAACCTTATACAAAAGAGGCCTACTGAGGGGCTCACAAAATTGTATACATAAACATGATTGTACCTGTATAAAAAAAAATCAAGTGTTAGATAGGTACAAAGCATCTTAAATAGGGGGTATAAAATTTTAGGGCAGTTTATTTCAGGGCAGAATTTTTTGTCTTCATAGATTTTTACATGTAGCTATATATTTTCATGTTGAGCACACAGTGTGGTTTATACTTGTCTAGAATGTTCTGTGTGATGCTGTTTGTAGATTGCACTGTCAGGAATTACTAGAGGTACACAGGTTTCTGGCACTACTGTAGGTGTAGTCTCTCTCTACATACATAAAGTGTGTGTTACTTCTATTACTTCCTGGTCACCTGTGTGTAGGCTCTCAGTCAGCTGATAACAGTAAGAAATTAGGTATCACACCCAAAACTGACTACAAAGTCAATCAAAGGAGCTGCTGTCTTAGAACAAAAACTAATACAGATTGAAGGCCATTAGTGTAGAAGATGTGAATAACTTGATGATTAGGAGAAGAAAGTGGCAGTAGTTTGTGGGGAGAGATTCTCTACTCCTTACACAAGTTCAGGGAAATGTAGGTGTGCATGTAAGTTATGATCATTCCTTTAAATATTCTTAGATTTTTGTGATAATATATAACCCAGTAAGTAATCTGGCAGAATGCAAAAGCATGAAATCTACTTTCACTGATATATATCACTGAATTTTTTTTCTAAATATTTTGTTGGTCTTCACTTACTTCAATTATAATTTTGATTTCCTGTAGATCATTTAATATTATGAGTGTGTGTGTGGGTTGGTAAACAATTTCAGTGCAGTTATAATTGATTGATTTGAAACCTTATGTTCAATACTGGAAGCTTGATCTTTTTGACTGATTTTATAACTGATATTGTGAGTTTCCCCCTGTAGCATTTATAAAAAAAAAAAAAATCAGTTAAGTCCTCAATCAACTCAAACTTTCCAACAAGTGATGAGGACAAGAATAAAACAGGGGCATTTGCCAAAACAAATTTTAAAAAACAAGTGCATTTCAAATCTTAAAATAGAAACATTGTATCCCAAATATCGCGGTATTTTTTATACTGTCTGGTGTGTGATGATAAAGTCGTGGTAAGGTCTTATACATAAATGTCAGGCAGAGGCTTTTCCATAGTATATACAGGTACACAGAAAATGTTCAACATGCATAAAATTCACAAATCTAAGGTTTATCAAAATGATTAAGGAATTAGCCGGTTTGGTATGGTATGTATAAATGTTTAGGATACATTTATCAGGTTTATGTATGCGGTGATCCTTGGATTGATACTGTAAGTAGGGTTGATAAGAATTGGCTGGGTTTGGCTGGATACCACCTCAGATTGACCGGTCCTGCCAATTACTGGCAGTGATGTGGAAAAAACCTCTCTCCCAAGGTCAGAAGGTCACACGGGAGGAATATGTTTGTTTGTTTTGGCCATACAGTGCACACATCTAATTCCCAGAAGATTTGATACCATTATAGCTTGGTAATGGTACATGAAGGTATACTCCTGGAATCTTTATTTTTACGTAAGCATGTGTGTACCATATCACTTGGAAATCATACATCAGTGTGTCTTATTTTAGACTTAATGCTGTCACTTCTTAAAGCATCAAGTGTCTAAAACAAGAACAGACAACTCATCCTATGAGCTAGTCATACAAGGCTTCATTGTCATGGGGGAAATTATTCTGCAGAATTTATTGATGACTTCTTCCTTTACATGAAGTCTCCTTACTTTTTATTATAACTACAATGTAAGATTTACATGCATTTTTATTAACTTAAGATTAGAAATGTTAATTTTCTTGTTTTGATTTTTAGGTGAATGGGACACTGGTAACAAACTCAAACCATATAGAAGTTGTGAGACTTATAAAAGGTAAGAATGGACATCAAGAAACAAGGACAGACTACTGACAAATTTATTGATGGATTAAAACCTCAAATTATCTGGGGTTAGGAAGGTCAATATAAGATACAAGATACTAAAAGTTATCTTTATGATTAACTCCAGTTTATTTGTAAATAGGTGTTCATTGATTGTGGAATTAATCATCAAGGAAAATATTGAAGCAGGAAGGAGTTTAGAGTTTACATGGGACACCTGATTTTCATTTATGTGCCCCATTTATAGAAGATTCAAGGGCACAGTTTTCTGGTCTGTGTATGTCTGTCTGTCTGTGTGTTAATCTTTTTGGCTGCCATAACTTTAACCTTGTCCATAACTTTTGAATGCCTTCTGCTAGGGCTTTCATATTTCACTTGTGTATTCTTTGTTATAACCAAAGATTTTTTATATTATTGGATTTGACTTCTTGACATTGACCTTGGAGTTTGATATACTTAAATTGCAAAATTTTACCCTGAAAAGGGTTGATTAAGAGCATTAAAATGCTGAGGTCAATATAATGTTCTTTAACTGCATCCCTGTTTTTATGTGTTGCTTCTGTCTGTTAAAATCCCTGCCCCTGGGTTGTGATGCCAAAGGGGGGGGGGATCATGCAGGAGTGTAGTACATGATGCATATTGCAGTACTGGTATGTCATGGGCAACAAGTGATAAAAACTAAACTCGTCACTATACGTAGTACTTTAGGAGACTGTACAATTAGTCAATATTCTGTCTGTATTTTCTGATTCATAGAACCAGCTAGTTCTATTGTAGCTATAATAATTCTAACTAACATCAAAGGCAGTGAATGTGGAAACATTAGACGTCCCTAACTTCTTGTTGATAACTCTCTCCCATCATTTAAAGCCATCATCAAGGAAGAGCTCAGCCAGAAAATGGTGGCAGGCCATCAATCTTACAAAAAAAACACCTCAGAATTCGGAGGGGAGATGTCAAGGTCATAGGTTCTATTGACATTGAAATTGACTGATTTATGTAATCTCATTAGCATGCTACAGGTAATTCTACCTAGCAGGTTCCTTTCGACAGTTTGGCAGACTTATAGAAGCAATCAATTACAAAGGAGATATCTGTAGAAAACTGAAATGTTTTCTTGTCTTTATCATTTTTTGATTCTTAAAGTTGCCTTCTTCATGTTTTTGATTCTTATAAGTCCAGTGGAATACCAAAATAGTCTCATTTATAGTTATGCTGCTCAATATGCCATATCACTCTGAAAAGGATTTTGTTGGAGTTTTATTTTAATATTATTTCTCAAAACTGCATTTATGAGTGGTCACATCCATGTTTATTTCTAAGTAAATGAAAATGCAATGAAGTGGAAGTTGAGAAGTAAACTTTCATTGCATTTATGTGGACAAGTATAGAAATATCTGTATGAGTCTAATATTCAAACTTTGGGTGGAGTAGTTACAATGTAAGATGCTTAAGGACATATTGTTTTCAAACAGGTTTAGTAACTTAATGAATCTAGCAGGAATTTGGGAATTAAGATTTTTGAAATAGTTGGTATGGAGGTAAAAATTTGGGCAAACAATTACAAGTGTCTGTTGTTTAGAGAAGCGATGAATTCTCTTCCATTTGACAATGATGAAGAGAAATGCAGACCCCCTTGAATTGGCTCACGGATTGGGAAGAACAGAATCTTTTTCCAGATCTTGTTTACCTATCTCTTGAGCTGAACTTCCTGTGTAGTACCTCTGCCATTATGGGCTTTCTTGGCACAGGCTATATATTGCCGATTTCTCTGATAAATAAGGTACTCCAGAATCTGGAGAAATACTGTACTGCAATAGCTTATATTTACTCTCTAAATAAAACTAGTAAATATATATATACATTCTATCAAGCTATTTTTGATATAGGAACAGTTGAGCTTTCTTCAGTTTTGATTTAAGTTTGCTGTTTGTGCTTAAACATTCAGTGATTACAGATGTGAGCTGGGGAGGAACATCAGAGCTATGTTCCTTGTCTGATGTTTTTTCTCTCCTATTATTCGTTGTCTTATGTTTACACATGTCATCCATGCAGTGTAAATGACAGATCAGACCAGAAAATCGCCCATGTGTTTGTGACAGCGAGACTCAGCTGTATAAGTCCTGTACAAATCACTCTCCAATATTCCTCTACTTCTGATCAAGGGCTTTATAAAAAGCCTCCGAGGGACTGTAAATTCTCTGATTAAATTCTCCATCTCTGTGATGCAGGGCTTAGAGAGCTGCTGCTATAATGGTTACAACCAGACCATTATCTTACAGAATTCAATTAGATTTAGATTTTAATCAGCAGCGTATTGTCTTTGAGAAAACTAATGATCTGTCATTCATTGGAACTGCGTGGACAGATATAAGATAGGAAGGGGACAAAGTGATTGTTATATTCCCATCCATTTCTGGGTTTAATACAGAAAAAAAACCTTGGTTCCTACCACTGTATATATTGATTTTTCTGAGTTTTGAGAGTGCAGGGACAACTGCATAGTCACAATTCTTACCATCAAGTTCAGGGTCCAAGGAAAAGACCAGGGGTGGGGTGGGGAGTATTTCTTTACAGAAGTTGTGAAATCAGCATCACCATTGTATAATGAAATAAACAAAAATGTACTTATGTTTAAAACAGTGAAGTGATTTTTAATTTGGTAACACTTATCTAGCGCTACTAGTTACGTAGAATAGTACTTTTGACTTTTGTCAGCTAGTGCTGGGATAAATGATATGACACTGCATGAATATAAAAAAAATCCTTGAAAAATCAATTTATAAGTAAATTAAAGAGGAAGTATAGAAGGAAAGAAATACAAGGCCTTAAAAATCTATATCTCAGTGATAACCTATACAGACACGTATGGTGTTACGGAACTCCATCCATGAAATGTGTTCATTTCCTCTATAATGTAGAATGATGTTTTAATGAAAATAATTTTTCACTTGAGGAATAAACTGATGCTGTAGTAATTGTTGAGCGGTATTTCTCTCCATGCCTGGCCTTGTTGGAGATCCCTCCTCTAGCTGTGGCAGCTTATCACCGGCAGCCAGAGGTAGTTAGCCAGCAAATATTGAAACAGACTATGACTCTCTCCGCAGAGCTCAGTATTGTTTCTACAGTAAACTGTTATATATATATATATATATATATATCTTTATTTATGTGTTCTATAATTCATGGAGTTTTTAAGTGTGTAACAGGATGTGTTAGGAAATATTAAGTGAAAGTTCAACATCGTTAATTAGCGGGATGCTGGAAGACTCAGAAGGTAAGCTTTGTCTAGAATCCAGGTGTTGGGTTAATATTTTTTTTTTTTGGAAAACTTTTTTTTTTATGTGTGTATTTAGCGCATCCATTTCCTTAGCAGGTGGATAAAGATTTGAACGAGGGGGAAGACATTTTTCTTTTGTTGATGAGTGAAATGTTTCGTTGTTCTATACCTGTTGTACACTGTTTTAAGCTGCGATATGAATAAGAATATCATTTGTAGACGGAAAGACACGGGAGCCGCGATTTATACCTGGTTCTCCCATGTACAGTTAGAGGCTCGGCTTATTGATGGAAATAGAAACACTAGAGAGACTGGAGAGCTTGTTCTAGGCTTTCCTCAATCTTATCTCTTTGAGTCTTGGCACTCCACGGCTTCAAACAAGAAACCCTCTGCCTTCAGCATTTTTTAAATAATTTGGTTTTTAATCTTCCAATTAGATGTGTTTATTTTTGTTTGCATTGTAATCCATTTAGCAAGTGGTTAGCATTATCGTTCTGCCAAAAATAATAATACCAAAAAATGTTATAAATGATCATTAAGAATTCCTATAGGTGTGTGCTGTAAGATTCAGATCGTTGTAAACAGGTGACTGGTAGAATGTTTCCAAAACATGAACAGTTTTGAAAGTTTAAAAAAGAGAGATGAAACTGGAGAGTAATTGAAAATTCATATCAGTATCTGGGAAGTATTCAGAAAATCTGTGTGATTGATAGTGAGCATAATGGGAAATTCTTGTCTGAACATCACCTGGTACTTCTGATAGTCGGAAATCTTCCTCCTCTTCCAGGAACACAGGGATGTTCACGACAAAATAAGGATAAGATGTCGGTCACTCTGTAAACTAGGATCTGAGAAAACTAGGGCTCATTCTGAGAACAAACCATCATGGCATGATGTAAAAAAAAATCCCTCTTATTTTCATTGATCTTCACTTATCAGTTTGATCCTATAACTGCCTGGAATGTGACAGGTGGTTGTAGGGAGATGGAAAATATCAACTAGCAAATGTGTACACACGTGTGGAACAATTCAGGGCCTCGTGATTGACTTGAAGATGTTTTATTGACATTATCAACATTCTAAATTTACATATTATTGATATCTACAAACCTCTGAGGAGGAGGAGGAGGAGGGGACTTAGGTGTTGTTTATTTTGTGGTCAGGAAAAGACCAGTGCACATGTACTACAGAAGATGATAATGTAACAGTTTATATTGATGAACAGTCAGCTAGTGAAAGAGATGTTAAGGTCTACCAATTAAGACAAGGCTGAATGTCCTTCAAATCAAATCTTGTGTGGTTAATTAAGACCAAGTTTCTAGGTAACTTTCAACACAGTTAAAATTTCTGCTTCATGTGATGTCAACATTAACAAGATAATCTTTGTGAAAGATGCTTAAGGTTCACTGACCTGATGATAAGAGAGATAACTCACACAGGGTAAAATGAGTATTATTCCTTTATAATTTGTCAACTTTTCCCTGTTAAATGTGCTGCAATTGTGTGGGGTTTAATTATTAATCAAATTTCTTTCTAAAATCGTCAGCATCAAAGCAAAATTTCTTGTCACTGAACAGAAGGACTTTGAACTATGTATTGGAAAAAAAATCTTTGGTAAATTATTTGTGCAGCAAAAATCTATTGTGTACGTCTCATAGTAAATTTAATATTCAAATAAGTTGGTGTAGATCTTCACATTCCTCATTTTATGC